GTAGCATTTGGCACATGTGCAGCTGGCACACTTGAAGTGCATACAGTCCAGGTAGTCGCAAAGTTTAAGCTGCACAAGGACATCCGGAAAGGTGTCTACACTGACCCTTGCGGACTTGGTGAAATAAGGAAATTTATGTCAAGACGACTCTTGCAGACGTGAAAAACGTGTATTGGCCGTAACACAAGCCGACGTTATTTTGATGAACTGTGGCTCAAATCCAAGTCTCGGGTTTACAGCACTCAGGAGACCACCACGTAAAACGTCTGTGTTCAATCCCTGGTGCAATGAAGTGTGTTGAGGAGATTGTAATCTTTCTGATTGGGTCAAAGTGGCATAAAAGTAGGCCTGCATAAATTAACTTCAATAACAGAGAATATATTACAAACTTTGAGAGATTTTAAGTAAGCCAGGGCTAATAAATGTGTATTATAAGATCTAGACTTATAAAAGAATGTTAAATGGAGGGAACGTGTTCACTGTAGCCTTCTGATAAGATTCCTGGAAGGCTTCATGCTGAAGCCCATACAGTCATGAGACCAAAGTGTGATGGCTCTTCAGCTCTCACACTCGTGCCCCCTGGGCAAAGCTCTAAAAGACAGCACAGCATGAGCTGATACAAAGCTAGCATGCCACCCTCAGTCCTACCTTCAGGCAGCTGTATAATCAAGTGTTGTAAAGCATGTGATGACTTCTCTTCCCAACATCTGCTGCTCATGGTTATGTGTGAATGTAAGAAATCCAGGTTCCAGCAGTCTGAAGTTAGGAGGCAGCAGCACGGACAGCGCCAAGTTATTGCTTCATATCTTTGCTATTGAATAAAATAAAAAGTAGAAACATGCATACCTCTAGTTTGCGTCAGCCTAACAGCAACATAAGATATGCACCAAGTTGAATCCAATGCAGCTCTTTTTGGGCAGTTCACAAAACATGCAAGTCAGCTCTGCGCCTGACCGGCAGCTACGCACTGCAGACGGAGAGGAAACAGTAAGCTGGATACTACAGAGGAGCGGTCCATTCATAAAATCAACAAACTGTGACTGTGACCAATTTTTTGAAAGCCCCAGTCCAGCACCACTGAAAAAACTTTATCAGGCATCTTCAAAAGAGCTTCTGTACGAGTGGTGCAAATGGACTGGAACATGAGATACCAAAGCTCAGAGACACATGCCACAGTCACTACAGTCACACACACACGCGTGCCCACAGTGCTACACTCTATTCTGGAGCACAGAATGATGCAAGACCATTTTCTACCAGCTCACAGGGAACTAAAGCCCAAGCTGATGACCAGTTAAACCACCCACCATTACGTAAGAGTCTGTGACTTGCAATAACAAAATTCTATCTATGTTGCCGGTGATAGACATCAAATCACGCCGACTGCTCTGATGAAGCAGCATTAGTTCGAATCACCCCGTTCCTGACAGACCGCTCAGAGCAGCAGCATCCAGAGGTAAGCTGGGGCATGTGACCAGCTCAGACCGGCTCTGTGAGAAAGAAAAGACAAAAAAAAAAAAAACGGCTCCGGCTGCCTCAATGAATAAAGGGTAGATATCTTGGAGGAAAAGGACAAATATCAATATATCGATGTAATAATGTGGGACGGCAGATTAGGCATCATGTGACATGTTTCTCATCTTACAAGCCACAGAACAGTTAAACAACACCATCTGCTAAAAATCTGATTTGACTCCAACGACAAATTCTGTAGCTATATTAGTATAAATGACTAATTCTTGTTTGTACTTTAAAACATTGTGTGTCTGTCTTTTGATGGGAGGACAAAAGTTCTTTAAAGTGCCAATATAATCTTCAACAAAAAAAGAAAAGAGGTAGGGCACATGACAATAGAAGATTGTGCCATATGTAGCTCTCCCTTTTTACTGATCTATGGTAACAGCATGAGAAAAGCAGAAAACAGTGCATCAAGTCATAATACACAGTTTTAGATGACCTCCAGCCTAAACTACCATCACGACGAACATCACAGTATCATCAATGTCGATAGGGTCACTTTATGCAGCTGTGTACCAACAACACTGTGGTCAGATGTGAGTCACAGCTGTGGCTATGAGCCTTCTTCCATGTCTGCTCATTCTGCGGAACGACAAGGACGAGACAGGAAATTCTTTGGAGGGGGGAAGAAAAAAAAACGAGGAGGCAGCGCTTGTCACGAAGAGGAGAAATTACAACTTACAAACAGTGATGTTGGGACAACAACGTCTGCAGCAGGCCTGAAACATTCACCTCTCACCAGATAGCACACAGTCACCAGAGGGCGTGCAGCGGGTTTATCGGAAGTCTGAGCTAATAAACGCACCGTTTGAACACCACTTTACTTTTTCCCGAATAAAAAGCGTTCAGTCTGAACAGCCTTGGCAGCCGCTCAAGGTGGCATTGACTTGTTACTGGCAATGACAGCGTGTCTTGTCCGACATCCGAGACAGCTGGAAGAATTGTGTCTCAATCAAGTGCCAGCTCCTCCTGACGCCACGATATTATCAGATCCGTGTCTTGCTGATTATTTGGTGAACAAAAGCTCCGTCTCTGTTATCTTACGGCACAGAAAGCGCCGCTAACAGCAGCCAGCTACCGCAGCTGCTTTAGCTAGTTAGCTTAGGTTAAGGACTAGCATTTAGCGCTAGCGAGCTAGCTATTTAGCCTGCTAACGTTACGCCCGTGTGTGATTTTGGGGTTTTGTTGCTAGACAGTGTGTCACCGTGTAAACTCTACTTGCTGCGTTCGTGTTACGGTGTTTTAGCCGAACACCCAGACAGTCGGCAAACACAGCAAATAGCAGCGGGACCCCGGCTGGGTGCCTGACAGGCAGGAGGCAGCATGCACGGGGGGACCTGCCACTCAAAGCCCCCGATCAGTCACGACGATCCTCCGCGCCAATTTAACAAGACTATAAAAGCCCGAGGAGGCAGCTGGCCACCCACGGAGGACAACATACCATTCTCTTCACCGTTGAGACGCAGGAAGAGCTCTGTCGTGGCTTTTATCCATCTATCGGCGGTGCTCTCGGTTAGCCTTGGAAGGAAAGCCCGGTGGAGGTTGGAGAGATCCGCTTCGGCTGCAGCTCCAACGGAAGGTTGCTTTTTCATAATTGTGCGACTCCAGACTGACGCTGCATGACGAGCCGGCTGACTCAGCCAGCTCACTGTCACATGGCTGAGGCGGAGCCAGCGGCCACATGTGCGCTTTGTTTTACTTCCTAATAAATACAAACAAGCAGCTAAAAAGATTAATTCACCTGTGCTCGTCCTGCCTCACTTGTGTAGCCTGGCTGAGGGCAAACGCTGTGAGATGACCTTTAAAATAACAACCGCTGGATCCACTTTCTGACTATGTACCGGTGGTTTATACATATTAGCTGTATGGATAATTTACCCCCTAAAATTACAGATCTGTTCGAGGTCATTTGTGACAACGAAGCTGGGGTTGCCTTCTCTTAGTCTTCATCCATATTGTCTTTAAACACGTAAACCTTTTAAACCTTCTGAGCCTTGTTTCCTCCTGTCGCATTTTCACTCACGGTCGGCTCTTTTTTTATTTTCTATTTTATTTTAACTGCAATACCATGTGAAATGTCCTCTGCGCAATATACCAAAGTTTTAAACCATATATCACGAACACAGACAGTTGGTCTTACTTCGTTTGCTTTACAAAAATAAAAAAATAAATAAAAAAGAATGAGCATGTACAATATTTTGCCCACAGATGTTACAAACGCTAGAAGAAGAAGAAGAAAGTGTCTCCAGATGTTTGACTACTTGTTTCCACACTCATCTCCTATCTGTGGGGGTTTCTTCCTCCTTCTTATTTTTAGAATCTAATTCTTGCATATTATTTTTATTTTCTTTTTGCAAAGTTTTAAATTGTGGATTAAAGGGCTTTAATAAATAAATACATATCACGATTTTAAGCTTTTTTTTCAGTGGAACAGCTCATAAATAATTCCAGTCTTGTGGGTTTTTAACTAGCTCTGATAAATTGTGTAACTTTGAATAGTTTTTAAATGATAACATGCTTTTATCCCACTGCTGGGTTTAGGATTAATTCATCTGCAAGACCCCTCCAGAGGACCCTTCTGGTCAAAGATTTGCACTATGACCAGAATCCATTTATTATTTATTACCTGTACATAGTGAGTCATTGCAAACATCTCTCATTTCTGACTCATTCACATTTAGAAAGTATGAATCTGCAATATTACAAGACAACCAACCACAGAATGCTTCCACCAGGCCACCAAAACTTGTCATTAATGGTTTCTAACGAGTCCAGAAAAGGCTACTTATTAATCCTTATATGACATGTTAAGGGTGCCTTGTTAGATAATGGTGCTATATACGGCTTTCTGTAGTTTTAGGGCTGTTAAGTCAACAGATACCAGCAGTCATAAATTACAATTGTCCCAGATAAGGGTTTGGAAGGAAAGTAAAGCCTTACAGAATATTTCATAGCTGCCAATTTAGTTTCTTTTCTTAGAATCATGTTTGGGGAAAAAAAAGCAACCATAATCACTAGAATGCACATTTCAGAGTGAAATAAAATGGGACTTAAATGGTGGTACAGTACATCGGAATGGAAGCATTTAACTTACAAACTGTGGATGACAAGTGTTTTTATGACCGGTCAGAGGTGTGTCTGTGCTGGTCTGCTCCTGCTCAGTAACTTTAAGGCCTACAGACACCCGTAATTCCAGTGGACTTGCTTTAACACAGAGAGCTCTGTCAGAGATGGAAACGCGCCAGCTCTGTTTAATGCTCTATACGGCAGCAACTTCCTTTGTTGTGGTGTTTATTTTAATTATTCATGCCTGACACTATCAGGCCTCTGGCTCCCTAACAAAACACAGAGTCTTCCACATGTCTATCAGGTGTTTGCTTGTCCGATAAAGTGCTGTTTATGTACAGCAAGATTTTGTCCTCTAACAAAAAAGAAAGTGTAAATGGGAGGAAGGGGAGGAAACAAAAAAAAGAAAATCCATGTACAAGAACATTATACAGAAGCTCTTCATTTCAGAAAGGCAATGAAAGAAATCACATCGTACAAACAGATTACACAGAAACCCCGGTTATCAAAACTTATAATGTAGGTACAAGTAATTTAAAACCCCCTGACCCTCCCCCGATCAACCAAGTGTCAAGCTGAATATTATAAAGTGCGTTCTTCATTTTGTTATATGCAAACATCACCAAGGCAAAGTTGTTACAGTTTTCTGAGAGTAAACCTAACAGATCTTTCAGGCACTAAACACGTTTTTTTTTTTTTTTTTTTTAAACTGTTTAAACATCTCTGACCCACCTACAAACTCTTCAATCAAAATTAAACCACATCACTTTAGGATCAATAACACGTATTCCCTTGCGTCGCAAATGTAGTAATAAAATGTCATTTAAAAAAAAAAAAGCATCCAGCAGTTGGATCCATCCTCAGGACTGTACATCAGCATCTCTCAGCGTCTACGGAGCGGTCAGTTCTTCCCTCTAAAGAAAGGAAAGAAAACGTTCATCAGTTTATTGCTTTCAGTTCACTAAACACCACCCACACGAAGACAGACAGTAACTTGGATGGGATTGCAATTTGTAATGCATACTGCATGTACAAGTACCAAATCACAAAGAAAAGACATCCCTAAATTCATGCCACAGCTCTCCCACATTAACTGCAAGCAACAACGTACAGAGGGCAACACGAGCGTGATCTGCGTGAAGGATGGATGGGTAAGAGTGTTAATTCCTGTTTACTGGAAAACATGGATGAGTACAGAAAGAAAATAATACTGATAAACTGCAAACATAAAAAGCTGCAGAAATAAAGAAATGAAACAAGTAGGGGTCCTCGGACCCTAATTAATGGTGTTCCAGGGTCACAGCTTTAAGACAAGGCTGCTTCAGCTCAGATTATTTTTAGTCAACTAGAGACATCTAGTGGTCAATCAAAGCACAACACTACTGTGTCTTTGTATTATAAAGGTGTTAACGTCTATTTTTCTTTGAATACTACGTTGACCCTGGAAATCAGTAGTTAAAATGTCAAAAGACGAAGTAACAGTCATTAAAAAAACCAAAGAAGCTGGTAAGAGGAAAAAAAAGGCACTGCAGCGAGCAACACTAAGGACAAGAAAGATGCAGGGGGAGAGTTCTGGGTTGGAGGGAAGCACACCTGGCAGCAAAGGCTCTCTGGATGAGTCCAAGACCTGGTGAAAATGAAGGCAGGTCAGAATCATATCTCTGTCCTGAGCTCTCTCACACACATACTCACATCCAGCATCCATGCAAATGTCTCAGAATGTGAATGTTTTGAGTTTATCTTGAATCTCTGGATAAGAAATGTCAGTATTTTGGCGTGAATTTCTATAAACAATGTTGTCCAAAGAGGGCAGTTGATGCTTTAGTCTGTTCTTGCCAGTCCAACATGTAAATCTGCAGAAACCTGAAACTCTTAACAACTACGGAATTTCAAGTTACAGTGATATTGGGGTTTACAATACAGAAGTTGTAAAATCCTGACGTGTTTTGACGTCAGGTTACATCATGCACCTCAGGAGAAACTTCAAAGGTATTTTTCTCTCTCATCACTAGCTCATGACAACACTGGCAAATAATGGGTCATCCCACACCACAGGATGTTCTTCAGATGCTCATATGGGAAGCACAATTAAACAATTCTGAGACGTAGTGTAACAATAATAATACTTTGCAGTTAGAATTAAAAAAAAAAAAAAAAGAAAAAAGAAGAAGAAGCAGAAGGCTTAACGAGTCTGGACAAACAAATGGTTGGGAAGATAAAGTCGACACAGGTTGTCTATTCTTCAGTAAGAGCTGGAGGTGGATCTTAATTATTAGTTACCCTAATACGTTTGTGAACAGTTCTGGAGGTTTAATCTGTGAAACCCTCACACCACCACATAGTATGTACCGACCATCGGTTCAGATCAGGTCCTAGACAAGATTTGTCCTTCGATTATCAGGAGGCGTGAAACGTCTGTAAAACGGCCCAAAAGTCCTGTACCGTGAACCAGGAATATGTTAAGTCAGGATTTCATGCTATACAAGCAAAAACTGATATCAGTGACTGGCTGGGAAGTAAAGGAATGGTTTGGAAAAGAACTATAAAACTGCTTTGAAAATCATCTGACAGGTGAACTTATTGTTGTATTGCTCCTTTACATTTTTTTGTAAGTGGACAAATCCTGGTGAATGTCGTGCACAGCTATCCCTCAAAGGCCCATTCTGAGCCAGAAAACAACCCTTAACTGGAGTAGAATTGGTCATAATCCCTCATGTGGCTGACTCTTGGTGTTCTCTTCAGTGTAAGCCTGTAATAAGAGCAATGACAGTGTAGACATGCTGCACTGTTTACTCAGCATTTCCAGCTGCAGAGAACTAAGTGATGTTAAAAAAAAAAAGTTACATTCAAAAGGGGTTTGGATGATAACTTAAGTCCCAATAATGATGCACTGCATGTTCTTCTCTAGAGCCTCAGGTGTCTGGTGGGCGCAGTTTCTCCCTCCCAATTTAGTTGCATGACAAAATAGCTGCTTGGCAAAGTAGAACTGATGCAGGCTAATGACGCAGATAAGTTTTGTTCTCAGGACTGCAACAAATTGGTGGAGACAAATCATTAAGCAAGGCTGATCAGGAAATGGCCTTTTTTTGCTGAACAGGGAAGGTTTTATTATGTTATGCACAGGAAGCTTGCAACTGAAGCATGTTAGGCACATTAGCATTGTAAATATTTACAACGCTGTCCTAGTGTTTAGCAGTGACCATACATCTGGACAATGAGCCTTTGGGCTTCAGAATAGCACTGTGTTGACTGTCTTTCCATGAACTGGTGGTGACAATCAACTATCACAGAAACAGGGAAATCTGTTTGAAAGCACTGAAGACATACAAGTGCAGCTGTCAAACACTTTGTATTTTTTCTCTGCTTGCCTCACCTCATAGGAGGTTCCTGCCCAGAACATCCTCATCTCTCCCCTGCACCCTGCCACCACAGCAGAGGTTATCAGGGTAAAGGGCACTAAGTAGAGAAGAGCAGGCTGTCCCATCCCTGACAGCAGCATCACAGTAAATGTCAGTAACATTCCCAGCAGATAGGCTACAGAAAATAACAGAGACACACAAACACAAACAGAAAGAAAGAGACAAGGTCAAGTTAAAGCTTGTACCTCACACATTTTAAACTTGAATTCAGTGAAGGTCTGTTAGTGGACAGCTAAATTAAGGTAAGATAACCATTTTCTTTTCTTTCTTTCTTTCTTTTTAAGTTATTTTTTGGCCTTTCGTGCCTTTATTTGATAAAACAGTGGAGAAGGGGGACAGGAAGGTAGGGGAGAAGAAAAGTGTCACGAGCCGGATTCAAACTCGCTACCATACTGCGCCGGGGACTTTTAGCCCCTGTACATGAGACACCAGTTCAAGTGAGCTATCGCGGCGCCCCAAGATAACCATTTTCAATGTAATTTCGGTCGTAGCTACCAAGCAGCAGCAGCCTGCAATGTGGGCATTTAGGGAACATCAGCAAATTTTAGTGTCTATCGATAAGAAAAAGTTCAGCAAGTCATATGTTTTGCCTGTGACAAGGTGGGAGGTGCAACCAAATGAGGAAATTTGTCGCAGCTGTACAACCAGTGAAAAAGTTAGTCTGAAGTGTAGTACAGCAGGAAACGAAAGACAACAACACAATAATTACAATATATGTGCAAAATGATACAGTGTTCAAAAACATTTAAAAAAAAGAAATGGCAGACTGGACATATTTAAGCATCACCAATTCTCCTGTAATGTAAATAAACAATTCATTGGACAAACTGTTTATCACTTGTTGCATAATTTTGCATTATTTTTCCTCCTTTTGCAAGTCACAGTACAACAAAATTGTAAAGATTGAGACATGAGGTACCTATGCAGCAGCTGACAAAGTAGATCTTCTTGCTGCTCTTAATCCAAACATCAAACCTGCTGCAGTAGGCCACCAGGAGACCTGTTTGACCAACAACAATGCACAGAGGTCACGATACATCCCATTACAAATGTTTGCCTTCATTGAGTCTGATTTCAGAGATTGTGCTGCATTTTGTCTTTGGTTAATTAAAAAAAAAACAAAAAAAAAAAACACAACAACAACAACAACAACAACAACAACAACATAGGTGGTTTAGGGGCTTTAAAAGGACCCAGAATGGCCTTTCATCCAGCCCAAATTCTTCTCTGTATGTGGGTATTTATAGTTACAGTTGAGAGTATAAAGGCAATCAGGCACTGAGTGGAGAGAGAGACAATATACAGAAAAGAGTTCCTGCTAGAATCAAACTGTGGAGGCTACAGTTCTCTAGTGTGTGCCCTGATTATTCAGCTACTGGGTACTAACACTATGCTAGCTTTCCTCTTTTGTTTTCACTTCAAGTAAATGAATACTTTAATTGACATGGATGTTAGGTAGTGTATCGACACCATTTGCTAAGTGAATGTAGTGGGTTTGCATCTAAAATGTCCAAAAGCAATTAACTGTTTACAGCAAAGTCACAACAGAGCTCATATGGTCTTTATATGCGGTAGTTTAACTGACTGGTGATCAGCAGCCATTGTTATTTGAGGTCAAATAGTTTCCAGACATTATGTAAGAACATAACCTCACCTGGAACAATGATATCCCCATAACCCAGAATGGAGAACTGCATCCCACACAGGTTCTGAGCCCAAGCTGAGAACCGTGGGACACGCATCACCACTGGTAGCTATGACAAATAAAAAAATTAATTAGAAGTTCAAAATGGCAGAACTTGTGACAGCAGGATTGTTGCAGTTGTTGCATGCAGCCAAATAGAGTGGCTAAACTTTGTGATACATTCAATCTGACAGCAAGCTCTTGATTTCATATTAATTTCTACAACTGTGAATAGCCATATTAGCATATGCAGTATTAGTGATTTTTTTAAAATTTTCTTTTGGTAACATCGCTGAGATCGCAGAGGTTTTCATACTGATCCTGTATTCTGATGTCCTGCTTAATCCCTGTGATGTTGTTTGTCCCTGGCAGCGCTGCACTTGTTGTCCAGTGATAGTGGAAATGATACCCAGCTCTCTAATGTGGCTCCTTTCCCTGTCATTTTTTTTATTTGCTTCAAGTGACATTGTTGACCACCAAAGCAGTGACCTGGCCAGACTGCATGTAGGAAAACACAGGACTGGACGGGATGGGCAGGTTTTTGAAAATCTGTCTGATAAGGATAAGGGCTAGATGGTCAATAACAACTAAACCTTCAGAATAAAACACTTATATCAACTTTAGGTGACATCTAAAGCAGCAATTATTATTATTTTCTTTTTTACAAATTCACATAATTGCACTATGCAAACTTTGGCACAGTAAATGGCTAACTGGCACATTTTTGTTGTGCTTACAGAGGCGTGCGTGTGTAGACAGCCAATGTTCCAAGAAAATGCAGAAGAAATCTTTGAAATAACATGAAAGGGCTTAACATTCCTGACTGAATCGTGCGGGCACCTCTAACTGCAGAAAGCGGAGGCCTTAAGATATTTACGTGGAAGCAATTTTGACTTAGATATGAATACAAAACAAATAAGGGATAGAGGTCCAGAATGCCAAAACATAGCTCCAGTGAAGAAAAAAAACGCTAAAACAGCACTTGCAGACTAATGCAGCTTGAGCAGAAATGCTGCCTTTAAAATGCGAATGACTTCTCAGCACCTGATGATCATGTGAGAATCGGGCTGTGTTTCTTTCACTCGCTTCACTTTTATGAAAAGGCCAAGAATAGTATATATATATCCCATAAGTGCCCTGATTTAATAGGGTGGCTAATAGTCACATAAAAAAGAAAAATTAAACACACAATATAGGTACACATGGACCGGATGGATACTAAAAAAAAAATTCAAGTACAAACAACTGATTCAGCACATAATTATATTTTAGATGCTTCTCTGCTAGAGAAGTAATCACAGTAAAGCATACTCATTAGTGCTACTGTCCTGTTGATTGAATTTTGGTCACAAGACACTAGGTGGTCCATGTGTAGCTATATGGAATAGTATGTAAAGAAAAAGAAAGGCCCAATACAAAAAAGGGAGATAATTAATCACACATTAATCTGGGAGAAGTTGAAACCGGTTATTTCTCAGAGCAAATCATCTACCTCCCCCACCCCTTCCCACCTACCTCAGAATGTAGCATTAAAAAAAAAAAAAGTAGTTAATGGGTAACAAGTCAAGCCTTACTTTCTCAGAGGGAGCCTGGGGTTCAGCAGGGACCTCCACCATGTTACCTTGTGTCTACGACAGAGCCCACCAGACCCCAGCGCACAGTTAGTCAATCCGTCTATCGTTCCCCTCAGGGCATCAACAACAAGCAGTGCAGATCAGCCAGGATGTTAATAAAGCCAGGTCAAACTCAATAGGGAATTCCACCAAGCTTCGGTTATGGCTGGTTGTTTATGACTTTGGTGATAAAACCATTGCCCTCCTAAGATCCCAAACTTCTGCACACTGCTCTTCTTAAACACCAGTTTATGTATTCATGGCACAGTGTTTCAATTTCTTAATTAGGGATGGGCACTCTGACAAACTTATATCATGGACGACCTTGTCAGAGGAATGCTTCAAGTGACAAAGATCAGGTCCATAAAGTAATAATAAACTCTGACAAAACCTTCTGCCTTCTTCACAAGAACTAATCAAATTGTGAAACTAGTAGGACAATGTCTTTTTGGATTTAAAGGAATAGCTTATTCTTTAAGCAGAATACAGTACTGGAGACTAAGAGTACCCCCAAATGGAGGTAAAAATACAACTCACCACCTTTGCTCAGATCTTTCAGAATAAAATCAGAGGCAAAACAGGATTTAAAAATTTGGGGCCTTTATCATTGATTTACAGTGAGAGGCTTTGATTCCAGACAACCACATGCACATTCTACTTTAAAAGGTCGTTATAACATAATTGGGGCAAATCAACCGCCCCTGCTCCGAACAAAATAAATGATTTTCCTTTTTTAACATCTTGAGCTATAAACAAGGACAGTCCTTGAATAGTGTTAAATGTGGGAGCCTGCAGATTAAAGAAGTGTTTTGGCAGTAATGTTTCTTAAATACAAAACCTGTCATAATGTTTGATAGTAAAACCAACATGAAAAAAAAAAAATCCTTTTTTTCCCCCAATCATCTTGAATCTTAATATCAACATATTGACAAAAACAAATGAGATTTCTGATATTTGAGTCATGTATTTGGCAAAAGCCCAAAAAACTATTTGGTGGAGTTCCCCTTCAAAACCGAAAGCAGTGCAGCGACTTTACCTTCTCTCCAGATGCATCCGGGCCCAAGGCAACCTGCACCATAATACTAACACCATTCTGTTGACAAAGAAAAGTTACTCATTAGTTTATGAATCCAGAGCTGCAAAAACATCTTATATTTATTGATATTAGGTGTTTTCATGTCACTGTGTGTACAGTTCCCTTTGTAAATGATCACACAACCACAAAAAAACGACATTTTGTACAGCAGTTCATTTTGTCCATTGGAAGTCAAAAGACTTTAAACTTTGGGGCAAAAAAAGAATTGAAAGCAAAGCAGGAAATACTTTGGAATGGAAGTGAAAACATCTCTATTTTAAATCAACATGTGAAAAAACAGTACTGCTCTAGCCCTGAGATCCTGTAAAAAAAAAACAACATATACATACCTTGGTGAAGAAGGGAGTGATGAAAACAAAGAAGACATCATACACAAGCAGGAGACTCAGAAGAATCACACAGATCTATGAGACACCAGTAAAAAAT